GCCTGTCTGGCTGTGTGACATAAAAACGACAACGTAACCAGCTTGAGACAAAAATATTACAGGCACTGTACTCTGTAAATCAAGTTAGGATGTGAGGAAGGTAAGATGTGTACTGTTCACTGACGCCTCATCAGAAATGTATATGTATACATATACATATATACATATACATATATATGTATATATATGTATATACTCCATATGAATCCTGAAACTGCTCTATATCTAGCAGATGTAAAAATATATGTTAAGAAGGTCACAGCCTTAACATAAATGGTGTCAGTGTTTTTTTATACCCTGTTTTAGCTACTCTATAGTGGCGTGAAGATCTGTTATTGCAGGCTTAAATGGATAGTCCTTTATTTCTCGTTTTTGTATTAGGTGATTTAAATTCATCCTTGGTGATACTGAAGTGCAGGTGCATTAGTTCAAGCTGTGTGCCCTGAGGTTTAAGATTTGAAAGCTTGCTAGAAGCTTATCAGATGACAATGAATAATCGGAAACAGTTAAAGAGACATGCTATATAGGTCATTTTGGACTGCAAGAAGCTTTTCGCGTTTGTTAAGTCGAATAACTTAAGTCTAATATCAGTGTCCAGATCAAAATCCCAGTTTTCAAGATGTCTTTATAGAAGGGGAAAAAAGCAGGAAAACTGTAGGACACATTTACAGAAGGACTTTAACATTAGCTGAACTCAACTAAAAACAGAGAAACAGTAAAAGCTTTTGCTCCTAACTCATTAAGCCTAACGAAAAGAAAAATAAACCTACAACAAAGTGGCATCTGAATTGGCATGTGCTTGTAATGCAAGTACAAAATCCACAATTTTGTTGTACATGTATAATGATAATAAGGAGCTATTATATTCTATCCTATTCCAAAGTTTTAGATGCATCAGCTGATTCAGGAGCAGCTTGCCAGAGAAAGCCTCTAAGGTTAATGGCACCTTGCACTCTTAAAACGTATATCAGGAAACTAGATACTTGCAATGTTATTTACTATACTTTAAAAGAGCAAAAAACAGGTACTTTCAACCACACATCCCCCCTGCAATTCTGTTGTTATCATGATCACAGATATCCTCCAGCTGGTTATGCTTGCTGCCTAGCTCTTAGTTGGCTAATACATCATATCAGTGTTTCTACTGGTTGTCTGAAAGGCACAAAAAAAAGTATAGTTCTTAAGGAAACCACCCCAGTGGACAGCTGCCTTCAACAAGTCCCTTTGACTGTATGGTCTGTAAGTAACTACTGTCCGCATATAGTATATACTGGACAAGCTCTGACCTATTAGCACAATTTAGAACAGTAACTAAAATTTTACAGTTTATAACTTAAAAAATGTGTGATTTATGTCTTTGTAAACATCTACTTTCAGAGCGAGAAGCGGTTAATCAATTTGACTAAATTCAACAAAATCCAGCTTCTAGTATCTTCTAAAGCTCGCTGTTTAGCATATTATATCTCATTTGTTTAATCTGTGGTTTTGTTTATTCATTTTACCTTCAGGCAAAGCCTGGCTCTCTGATTTAGATTCTTCATGCTAAAAGCCTGGAAGCTGTCTACAACCAAAGGAATTGCATTGTGAGCTGGTATTAATGACTGAAATTAAGTGTCTTTCAGCTTGTCCCTTCCACCAAAAGGTTAGCAGTCGGTTTGACAGGACTGATGATCCACAATACAATTATAATGTGTAACAGCAGACCAACAATAACCTTTCATTATCATTCGCATCCATGACTTTATCATCTTTGCTCCAAAACCTCATTAACATACATTCTGATACATTTTTAATCGATTTTTTTTACGTTTATTTTACTAGTCCAGGTCAATATCTGTAACCCATTGATAAAATTCACTGAATCAATTTGCACCATGTCGTATGAAACAGTAATCTAATTTGTTATAAACAGTGGACTATTCATTGTTACGTCCTCATTCATGAAATTACTTTATAATTAAAAAGTACTTATAATAACAGAAGAACAAATAAGCTTTGTGACCCTCTTGAATCATCAGTGACTTTTCATAAATTAAAATCAAAAAGGCCTATACATACAATGCACATTAAAGCTCTGTCACACAAAGAAGAATCCATACATGATCCAGAAAAGAACGGTGACGAAATGGCCTGCCTGCACTCTAAACCTTCCACCAACTGAAAACATTTGGAGAAGCATGAAATGATAAATTTGAGAAGACGACACAAGACTGTTGAGGAGCTAGAAATCTATATCAGCCAAGAATGGGGCAGCATTGCTTTAAAAAAGTCCCGAAACTGGGCTCCTTAGTTCCCAGCCATTTACAGGCTGTTTGTAAAGCAGAGGTAGATACAATTTTTCTATGTTCTACTGTGAAAAATACGGATAGAGCAATACCAAGTAATAGCAAGAAGAAGAAGGAAGAAGGAACAAGAGTAGCTCGAGAAATACCAACCGCAAAAGTGCAAAGATGCTGCACAGGAGCCCTCAAGCTCCCAGGGCTCGAGCTTGAAGGACAAACAAAGACTGTGACTTTGATCACTGAAAACAGTGTCATCCAGATATCTTTGTCAGAACAGCAAACACAGAAGCTGAAAAGGAAGCATTACAGAAACATACTAGTGCTTTCAGTTCGATTCAAACTGTGGCTCGAGACCGTGGTTGTCATGGAAATCACAGCAGGCAACCCTTTTCCATGTCTATCTGAGTAATATGTGCATATGACACAGGAGGGCTGGGTATATACTCGTATGTATTTTAGATGTGGCATTTTTCTATGAATATGTAGTCTGTGGGATGCTTTTAAGAAGGAGCTGCGCTGATTAGTTAAGGAAGCAGGGAGGAGAGGGGGAACATTACCAACTTCTTTCCTTCCTTCTTCCTCCCCTGTCACCTTTGTCAGAATCGGACTTTTTTTTATTTCTTCTAAGCGAGCACCACTTCTCCCCTTTTCCTACACTTTTTCTCCCTTTCATGCTGTAAGCCAGCATGATAAGGTCAGAGTGGGGCACAACAAAGTCTCCGGCGTGGCCTTGGGGCAGCTTCCTGCTGTCAGTGCCAGCTCTGCTTACGGGTGGTACCGGCCTAGCCAACATGATTAATGTGCAACTGCTTCCAGTCGAGCAGCTGACACAATGAAAAGTTGCTACAATTATTAAGGCAAAATGTAATAAATAAAAGAGTGAGTGCGCGTTGTTGTGCATGCGTTTGGACGAGAGTGTCAGTACAGATGTGAAAACACAAAAAGCATTTTCAACAGTCAAAAATCTTGAATAATCAAAGTTAAAACAGACATTTGGCTACAAGAACCCCACTCTCACACTTAAAGGCCTTTTGGTTGCCTTAGGGAGTGATGAGAAAAAGTGGCACTTCATCTGAAACGAGTCTGGTTCTTACAACGTGACTTCTTTTACAAGATTAATTAACAGATCCCTTGGATGTACGCTCTGTTAAGTGTGCACACGTGTGTCTGCCTGTGTGTGTGTATATTTCATCAGAACCTGCCAAATGTTAGGAGTTCACCTAATTAGTTAAAGAGTCCGGGCCCACACACCTGTCTACCTGCGCTGACAATGGCCCAAGGCTGCCTGCATACATTTACACACTAATTATCCAGCTCGGGCCATTAATTAGTCAGTCAAATAACTTAGTGACTAGCCAGTCAGCTGTCTGCTATACCCGGGAGGGAGGAGGGGAGAGCCACAGCCACACACATACATACATATGTTACATACTACTGCAAATATGCAAATGACACATACGGAATAGTAATACTCACATATATTTATGCAGTTATTTCGAATCTAAACATTTATCCCTTAGTATTAGTACCTGGTTGTAGGAGCTTGTGCAAAACCCACTGTGGGTTACAAGCTTCAGACTCATAGTTTTTATCTCTAATTACATCTAAGAAATTGTTTCCACACATTCAAAGTTAAGTAGATTCCACTGACATGTGTTCATGTTGTCAAGAAACTGAGGCACTTTTCCTACACTGACATCTTTTAGAATGCAGCTACTTTATTTTACACTAAATGTGACATGTGTGAAAGAGAAAAAAAAAGTTGTGTCAAATGTAATTAAAAATACAATTTAATGATTTGCAAAATGCCAAATGTTATCTAGCAGAGCATTGCTGAAATGAGCAAGACAGTTTTTTGGATGACAGTGTATTGCTCCAAAACCTGGAT